TGTCTAATTTATGGTTAACTCATACAGCTAATAAAAAAATCATTTCTATAAAAAAAAACAGAATTTTTGTCATATATAAACAAGACTGGTATAGAAAAATAAATAATTCAAGTAGATTATCTTCCTATTGTATTTTAAAACATAAATTTAATCAAGACTCATATTTAAGTGTTATAAACACGAATAAATTCAGAATAGATTTAACAAAATTTAGACAGTCAGCACATAATCTTGCCATTGAAACAGGTTGACATCAAGGAACGCCTAGGGAAGAAAGAAAATGCCAAAAATATACCATGAATGTAATTGAAAATGAGTTTCATTTCCTCCTTATATGCCCAAGTTATTATAACTTAAGGAAACAATATCTTAAAATATATTTTTGTAGGTGGCCTACTATTAAAAAATTCGAATTACTAATGACAAGTAGAAATCCTAAAGAAATTATCAATTTATCAAAATATTTATACTTTGCATTTCAAAAAAGAGAATTACAAAATATTTAGAATTAAATAAACTGAAAATATGTAACTTTCAAGAGGTGAATTTATTGTTATATTCTGTTCAGTATTAAATTTTTGTTTTGTACCATTTTTCTGTAAATTATTAGATATTGTACAATGTTTGTAACAAATTGATCCCTTTTCATATGTAATTGAAAGTATTGGCTATATGTATGCTCATGCTATTTTATGCTAAATAAAGATTATGTTATGTTATGTTATAAACAGATGAAAGAGCAGACGAGACATTATTTCCCCTTGCAATAATCCTATACCACAATCGTACACATCGGATAACCGTTTCAAATGTCACAATTTAACATCATTATAAAGTGACCGTACATTCCACCACTAATCCCCATTTTAATAAGTTTAACCCAAAGGCCATTCCTGTATATTGAATCAAAACACTTTTGAAGATCAATAAAACAACAGTACAGTTTAGATCTATTTTTCAATTGTTTTTCGATAAATGAATTCAATAAAAATACAGTACTCTAATAAGCTTTAAAACCAAACAGTGCGTCAGTAACAAGATCATTTGCAATAGACCATTTCTTTAATCTTTCATTTATAACAATATTGAATAATTTAGCAAAACAACTAATAAGCGTAATACCTCTATAATTATTAACATCAGCATTATCTCCCTTTTTGAATACAGGTATAATGACACCTTTAGACCATGACTTTGGGAAACATTGTTTATTAAGAATGTAATTAAATAAGATTTCTAACGGTTTATCTAAAATATCAATACCTTCTAAAAAATACTCATAAAAATATTATGTAACTAACAATTTAAAAGCACGCCTTATTTCATCTAATGTAAACGCTTCATTTAATTATTCAAACGATGAGTAAGCAGAAACATGAGAATCAAAATCATTAAGAAAATCTTTACAATCTATATCCTCATCAATTTTTAATTCTAATGTCAATTCTTTAAAATGTTCATAGAAATCATTCGCTATAGTCAGAATTATTTTTTTATGTTAACATTTACCAGAATTCTTTTGTGCTTTTTTATTTTTCATTTCCTCCATTTTTAATGACATACTTTTTAAGTATTTTTGTTTGTCACTTTACATCAGTATTTATAATCTTTTTTCTTACTATACAAAAATTGTTTATTTTCATAACTTCTCTCTTGATTAAATTGTGAAAGTGCTTCTTTATAGCTTTCTTTTTTGCTCCTACATAGATCATTTAACATTTTATTCTGATTAAGCAAAAAATGACATTAATAAAAATAGGTTTATTAGGCATTTTACGATGTATTTCAAAATACTTTTTTCCTCTGCTAGTAATAAATTCAGATACAAGATTGACCAAAGAATCCGTACTTTGGCCGCTGTCTTTATACGCGTTTAAATCAAAACATAATTCATCTACGTCGCGTGAAATTTCACTCTAGAAGTCATTTTTAAACTTATGAAAAACACGCTCGTTATTTTTCTTGTCATGTAATACGCTATTCGCACGTAGTGAAAATGATACAGGCGCGTGATTGGAATACATCGTAAAATCCATTACATTGAAATAGGAAATATTACAAAAATTACATTTATCAGTTATAAGTAAATCAACAAGACTTTCACCAATTATGTGTATAGCATGTGCATTTGACCCATATTAGCATCTTTACCTACTACGGCCATTTCACTACAAGAAAGTTTTATCGATTTACATAAATCTAACCCAAAAGCATCGCCAAAAAACGATTAGGATCCTTGCAATCAGTCGTTTGCAACGTGGTGTAAATACTCGGCCTTTGGGGAAAAAATCCGCAATATATTTCGTTACGGTGATCATTTTCTATAATCCATTTTTTTACCAATTCGTGAGTTCTAGATCGCCAAATACATACACCTGACCTTTATCCCTTGAATAACGAATAACAGACTCAATTTTTGAGAATAATATCAAAAATTCATAATTATTGTGTATAGGCGAGTTTTTGGGGGCTATATAAGTAGAACAGAGATACGTATGACACTCAATGTTAAAAAATGATGCATCTTATTTGAACTTATGTATACAGTCAACGTCATTTTTCACTAATCTAACTCCTTTTATAATTGAGTTTTTAATATAAGTCAAAATTCCTGCACTATTTCTTTTCGCTCTTTTATTTTGGAATTTTCTGTATGAGTGAAACAATTTATAACCATTTAAGTTTATTTTAGAATTTTTACTTGTCCATGTTTCGTTTAAAATATCAAATCATACTTTTCAATGAATTTTATAAAATCGCCACTTTTGCTTTCCCTGTATAATTGACCGTTGATGAAAAGCTTGTCAACACGGATGAACGCTTCCTTGCCTTGAGAGCATAATCGGGATGAGAAGCCCCCTTGTGAAATATCGTTTATATTAAATGGCTTCGCTGCGGTTTATGTAATAAAATAATTGAATTATTAAAAATTGAAATAAATGACAATTTTTACAAAATTATTGAACAATCAACACACATTTTTCAATATCATAAGAAAAGTACGTTGTACACAAACAAACTGAAATGATTTCCGTATTAACTAATACAATATCAAATACAACATAAACATGTTTCAAAACCTTATAAGTTACACATCAATTTAATAATGAATAATATGGTATTTGTGTGTCATGTATTATTAACAAACTTTTTTGCTTGAACTACTTATAGGTTGATAAAAACATGATTATGTAAATGTTTTGCACTTAAGTATCTATCAATGAAACATGAAATGCAATAAATACAACAAAGCTTAACAGGAATTCTGTAATAATAATATCTGTCATATTTTGAAAACATATGTTAGATGTTTTTAATTGCATATTTTACCATATTCGATTATATTTTAAATTCTTTATCTTTATTTTCAATGAAAATTTATATCATTACAACCGTAACTACTTTCTTACTACAGCGTATTAATTACAACTTCATTCATACCGTTAAAATGACGTCGTCCTAACCATACCATTGTCCAGCACGCGACTCATCTGGAACCCCCCATGCAAGATGAAATTTCCGGCATGGGTAAAACTCACGGACACGCCAGTCTGATATGCAAGAAAGCTTGTACTTGGAATTTTTAATGTTTTTTTTTAATAAAAAAAAACAATCAGCAAAGAACATATTTGTACATATTTGTACCAAATACAACTAGAACTCCGCGAGTCGGATGTGTCGCCTTGTGAACAATATAGTTTTGGAGAAATGGCCAGGACAAAAAAGAAATATGAAAGCTAACAAAGGGCAATAACTCAAAAAATAATAAGTGCAGAGCAGCAGTTTCTATGCACTGCACTTCTTATCAATAAGATCTATTATTCTATCTTTTATAATTTATGAGAAATGGCCTGGACAAAAATAAAGTATTAAAATTAATAAAGGGTAATAAATCAAAAATAAGAAATGCAGAGTACCGGTTCTTGTACACTGCACTTTTTCTTAATGAGATCTATCATCCTATGAAGTTTCATGGCTATAGCTTTCATACTTGAGGAGAAATGACCTGGACAAAAATAAGGTATGAACATTTACAAAGAGCAGTAACTTAAAAAATAAGAAATGCACAGTACCGGTTCTTGTGCATTGCACTTCTTCTTAATGAGACCTATCATCCTATGAAGTTTCAAGTCCATAGCTTTTATACTTGAGAAGAAATGGCCCGGACAAAAATAAAGTATTAAAATTAACAAAGGGCAATAACTCAAAAAATAATAAATGCAGAGTACCTGTTCTTGCGCACTGCACTTCTTTTTAATGAGATCTATCATCCTATGAAGTTTCAAGTCTATAGCTTTTATACATTAGGAGAAATTGCTCGGACAAAAGTAAAGTATGAAAATTAACAAAGGGAAATAACTAAAAGATAGGTAGTGCAGAGTACCGATTCTTTTGCACTGCACTTCTTCTTTATTAGATCTATCATCCTATGAAGTTTCAAGTCCATAGCTTCAAAAGTTGAAGAGAAATGGCCCGGACAAAATTAAAGTATGAAAATTTACAAAGGGCAATAACTAAAAAATTAAGAAGTGCAGAGTACCGGTCATTGTGCACTGCACTTTGTGTTATTGAAAGAAGCATGCATACCAAGTTTGAAGTCAATCCGACTTAAAGTGACTGAGTTATGCTCCAGACAAGCTAAAGGGGACGCCGACGCCGCCGACAAAAGTAACCCCTATATGTTGCCTTTTGAAGGCGACACAACAAGTACCATGCCATGCCTGAGGAATACAAGGGCATAGGCTATTTAAGCATGTGCCGTTCTGCATGGATCACTTTGAATGCAAATACATAAATACATAGCCTGGTATATATTTATATATATAAACATGTATATATTGTAACTAAATTTTATAGTTCCCGTATTGTACTGATAAAAGGAAACAACTGTAGGCGTGAATTCGTTGTTTGACATATAATGTTAATATCTAAATGGCAATGTCTCAACTTTCTTACTATTTACAATGTTTATGCATCTTTTCAGTGTCTCTTTTCGTTTATTATTTGAAAAGATAAAGTGTCTTTGAGTCCATTTTGTATTCATTGATTTGACTTGACTCTCCTACAACAATTAGTGTAGATTTCTGCTTGTTGAAAAGTACAGCTTGCGCAGGTGGAAGATCTTTTATTCTTAGTGTTTGATGCTGTATCTCATGTAATATGTTCAGAAACATTTCTCCATTCTTGTTTACAAATATCATCTTCTCTGCAGACAGCATACATAGATACTTATACATGCAACTTCCTCTAATATAGTGATAGTATTTAATAGATGGTTTCTGTTTAATATCTGTCTTACTAAATGTATAAGCGACAGCAGTTGCATCAATTAAATCAAAGGTATCTACACTGATAAGTATCTTCAATGGCCCAACAAATGTTTTACTCATATCTTCGTCATTGTTAAATATTGATAAACATTCCCCTTTTTTATTGTAAACAATAACATGATATTTGTGTGCGTGTTTATATAAAGGCTTTTCACATTCAACCATACAACACACATACACGATATTTTCTGAATGATCAGAATCAATACTGGTGCATTTTCCTTCTTCTATAGGAAATGATGTATCTAAAGTCATGACTTCATCAATTGTTACAAACTGAACCAGGTTTCTTTCCCTAAGTACAATGGCAATCTCATGTGGTTTTGTAACACACATACATTCTGGGGTATCATCTAAATCAATATAATCTTTCACCTCTAAATTATCTCGTAATCGTTTAAGCTTGGAATTATTGGCATCTGTGATTACCACAGTACTGTCAGGCAGTTGACATATTTCATTTATACTGCACTTGTTACTGTCCGTTTGACATGTGATATCAACAGATTGTTTGAGTTGTAGATGAAAAGCAGGACTTGCCTTTGTTTCCACAGCAACTTCCAAAAATGCTGTGATGTCTTTAGGTATGACTTCATCAACAAACGTGTATAAAAGGGATGTCTTCAGCCAATTATTAGAAAGATCTGTCTTAACTTTCTGCGCCTCTTTTGAAAATATTTGGCAATTCTTCATTGTTATGAAGGCCTCAACTCCATTTATGCCTGCTCCGTTAAAATGGTTGATTCTTTTTGTCACTTCTGACATAACTGTGTCTAGTTCTTTGATATCAGCCTTGACTGCATCTTGATGTTTTGCATGAGCTTTTAGAATATTTTCTCTGGATGTATTTGCTACAACTCTTATCCTTTGCATTAGCCTTTCTTCATATTTATCAATATCAGCCAAGATTTCTTGTTTCTCAAATGTCATATCTTTTAAGTAGTAATTTCGATATGCTTTTTCTTGATCTGCAGACGTAATGAAATGTTCCAAGGAAGATTTTAATTCGCAAAGTTCTTGACTTTCTTTAATTCCCTCTGCAACTGTTTCTATCTTGTTTATGTCTTTGCATGACCTATATGATGTAATACAGTAACATAAGATTAAGTTAGAATGCGACACTGCAAATTTTCGAGTTACTTCTTAAAAATCGGAATGTAAAAAAGTTGACCATATTTCAGATAAGATTCCGTTGATAAAATTCCAATTGTTTCAACCATTTTCTGTAAACATGACATCAAAGTTGATAACCAAAATAAAATAGAGAAAATCAGAATCCCTTAAGAAAGTCCAAAAAAACAAATTGAAAATGTTGCAGGCTCGGTTTGATTGAGCCTGTTCATGGACGATACTGGAAAGTGCAAGTTACCGTCCACGCCCCCTAGCACCGGCTTAAGCAGAATTCAATATTTAACAGGAAAATGGTAAAATTTTGAATTTAAAGACATCCGCAGATGTGTTCATACGGCGGTTATCATGGAACCTTCAATGTGACACAGTAGTGCCATTCCATGAAAAGCGGCGTATGGTCCCCAAGTAAAAGAATGCTTTTGCCCCCCTAAACGAGAAAACAATGGGCGGAACTAAATAAAATGGAATTTTAAAGGGGATCTGAGGTTATAAAATATAATAAACAAGATCAACAAGGAAAGCCTGCATATCACAGGTAAGACGTCAAAAGACAAATTTAAAAAGCAGGCAACATATCCTAAGGGTAATTATACAGTATTCAAGTAGAAATACTGGAACCACCCAAGTTGAAAATGGCCAAAAGGAGAAACTAAAAGTACCACATAACATGTTTACACAACAATAATGTCGTGCTGACATTTTTGGAACATGACATTGTTGCGTACCTTTGGCAAAGGTTATGGGTATCACAACACCAAAGGCAGAGAAAATATCTTAACATTCTACAGTAAGCAGAGGAAATTATTTTTATAGCCCGTTTGAAAAATCGGTCGTATTATAGATTCCCCCCCCCCCCCCCCCCCGGCGGGCTGCTGGGCAGGCGTCGTCCAAATTTTGTCCGGAGCATATTTCCTATACCCATGGAGGAATTTTTATGAAACTTCCTAGAAATGTTCACCACTATCAGAAACTGTGTCGCACATGAACCAGGTCTCTAGGTCAAGGTCACATTTAGGGGTCATTGAAAAACGCTTGTCCGAAGCAAAACTACATCCCCTTTCAAAATTCCATTTTATTTAGTTCCGCCCATTGTTTTCTCGTTTAGGGCACACGCATTTTTTTACTTGGGGACCATATACCGCTTTTCATGGAATGGCACTACCGTGTCACATTGAAGGTTCTATGATAACCGCCATATGAACACATCTGCGGATGTTTTAAAATTCTAAATTTTACCAGTTCATGTTAAATGTTGAATTCTGCTTAAGCCGGTGCTAGGGGGCGTGGACGGTAACTTGCACTTTCCAGTACCGTCCATGAACAGGCTCAATCAAACCGAGCCTGCAACATTTTCAATTTTGCCGTGTTGGGCTTTCTTTAGGGATTCTGTATTTATCTATTCTACATGCAGAGGGATTTCAGTATAACTTGGCACAAATGTTCGAATGTTCACCATTGTAAGGCGGAGTGTTGCATGCAAAATTTAGGTTCCTGTGGTCAAGGTCACACATAGGGGTCGAAGTTCAGATAGAAATATAAAAATGTGTATTCCGACCATTTAGTAAGGGATTGAAAAAAGGTCATAATATCACATCTACTGGTGTGAAACATGTATTTTACTTTACTATATGTAAGGTCAAAGTGACTAAAGATGATTAAATATAGAAATTTTGGCCAGAGCATATCTCCTCCAAACATTGAGGGATTCTAATGACACTTCATAGAAATAGAGGATATTTGTTTGTTTGTGTGTAAGATGAAATTTTATTTCATCGAGTGGGCTTTAAAAACAGTATTCTCACGAGTGGCGTAGCCACGAGTGAGAATACTGTTTTTAAAGTTCACGAGATGAAATAAAATTAAATCTTACACAACAAACAAACAAATTTTCTTTTTATTTTATGCTAAAAAACAAGTTTAAACGAAATTTTCATGACATTAACGTAAATATTAAAATCTGTTTTCCCCATTGAGAGCCCCATTTAGTCGGAATTTCTCATTAAAAACAAGAAGTCTTGAGCTGTAAAATAAGTCCGACAATCAACGTTAAATGACAGTGATATTATTTATTTTGTTAAAAAAAAATATGAATGATCGCTTGTTTTAATAATAAAAACAAACAATTCTTGTAGGAGAAAAATTCCAACCATCCATCCATATTTCTGTTACTTACTGCGTATTTATATTAGACCTGGCTTTGTTAAATGTAAGCGGCAGCCATTTTTTAAAGTTGTGTATTTCACGGGAGGAAAATAATTGTGTTTGATTCAGAGGGATATCATTTGGATTTGTTAGTCATACACCTTTTTAAAAGAAAGAAAACATATTTGAGGATTGAAACAGACAAAAAATAAGTGTTGACAGATGTGAAAACATTCAGAAAAGGAGCTTGGAAAATGGAAAACTTGGAAGCTTGCTCGGAACGCTGGGTGGTTTAATTGTTCTACGAGGTGATAGCTGTCATTGCTTTTCAATTTTTCATAAAGCGTACGGCAGTTATTGCTCGTAGGATACTTTAATGTGCCCAAATGTCATCAAGAGCAGTTTGCATGTGGAAGGAATGTATTTGTCAGACTGTAAAAATGAAACAAAAAATTTATAGAGATGAAATTTGGTGATTGGAATTTGAATGAATAGAAGTAAGTTTTCTTCTTTTTATTACTTTTGACATTTAAGTTGATTATCAATTTCAGCTTTGCGTTTTCTTTAAACAGCCTGATATTGTCAGAATTGTCAGTAAAAATAAAAATTGAGGTACCACATGGGGAAAATCTTAAAAAAGTAGTTTCGTCATTGAAAAAAGTGAAATTATATTTTGATAATTTTCACTGTGAAATTATCAAATATAATTTTCACGGATAAATCAGTAATCCACTGAAAAGCATAAAATAAATGATTACTACTATGAGAAGCAGTGTCACATGCATGAACCAGGTCTCTAGGTTAAAAGATAAGGTCACACTTAGAGGTCAGTGAAAAATGCTTGTTTGGAGCCGAACTTTTACATTCATCGGGGAATTTTAATGTAACTTGGAACAAATGTTTACCATTGTGAGGCTTATTGCGCACATAATCCAGGTCCCTGCGACCAAAGTCAATGTCAAAGTTTTGTAAGGGGACCATTTAGCCGTCATTTCTTTCTTGATAGATCGTAACACAAATGATAACTATCATGACTACAAGTGTGTGACATATGTAATTTAGGTTAATATTTGCAAGGTCAAAGTCACTACATATGATAAAATGTCCAGATATTTTCCGGATATTGCCAAGAGCATATCTCCTATATGCATATCTATTATGCCCACATCTCTGTCAAAAGCTTTTGTGACGGGCGTATTATGCGGCAATGTTGCCCTTGTTTCCTTTATTATTATTTTTTTAATTTTTAATACGCCAAAACATGTTGAAAAATGAAAAGAACATTTTCATTTTTGTGCACAATTTGACGTTCAGTTTATCCACATTCTTTTGCATGAAAGCGGTTAAATAATTTTTTGTTTGTTTAAATGTCATCGATCTAATGATCTAAACATAGGGGGTCACCGACTCAACTGTTTCGGTACTTGTGATTCTATTTTCCCCACCCCTTGCATAATTTTTGTAACACAATTGGACTTTTGAAATGCGTTTCAGACTTCATTGTGAGGCAATAATGTTAAGCTAATCAGGAGCATTTTTGTAGAGTTTGACTTGTCCTAAATATATAAAAACGTCAACAAATTCTGTTCCATGACTGCTCCCCACCTCAATGCCATGAAAATATTGGGCTTGTGAGTGGCTAAAAATGGCCTTGGTCGATCTTAAGGTAAAGTGTATCTATCTATCTTCCGTAAATGTCAAACACCTCTAGGGGACGTAGACACGTCGGCGCGTCGAAAATCGCAAGACAGTAAAAAAGAGTTATTTAAAAGAGGATAAAAAAATATTTAAAAATGTTAAAAACAGGGGCTGGAAAACTAGGGTGAAACATGTTCGATGCAAGCTATGGCTACAATGAACTGCTCTGGGGTAGGGTGTAGGGCAACTGCAGGGGGTAGGTGGTTCCAGTGGTATACCGTCCAAGGAAAGAATGAAAATTTATAATAGTCTGAAGTTGCTGTGAATAATCTTTAACATAAGGGATGGCCATGACGTGATATTCGGGACAGGGGTTTCAAATATTCTTCTATAGGGATAGCAACCAGACCATGGTGTATCTTATAGAAAAGGGATAACCTTGCGTCTGAGTTGCAGTTTTCGATGGTTAAGGGAGTGAAGCATGTCTGTCGCTACAGGTCTGACCATAGTCTAGCTTAATCCATCGGGCTGCTCTTCTTTGGACATTTTCGATTCGATCTATTTGAGTTTTGGTGTGCACACCGTATTACCGGCGCCAGTGATGGCAGATACCTAAAATTTACCGCTCGGTACAGGTAGATTATCAATTTGGTTAGTATTATTGTATTACACAAACACGGCCCATTGCATTGCTATGAAACTATTGTCCATTGACTGGAGATACTATTTGGTAATTTTGGACTCGTGTTTCCTGTTTTTAGACTATTATGAGCAGGTTAAAAGTGACAGCTGCGAAAAAATCCGTGAAAATGTCTGTTTTTTGTTCAAAATATCTCAAGTTTTAACTAAAAAGCAGGGTAGATATTTGGCTTGCGTGACCCCAATGGATGAACGTCTGTATTAATAACACGAAATCCTGCTTTTGAGTTAAAACTTGAGATATTTTGAACAAAAAACAGACATTTTCACGGATTTTTCCGAAGCTGTCCATTTTAACCTGCTCAAAATAGTCTAAAAAAGGAAACACGAGTCCAAAATTACCTAATAGTATCTCCAGTCAATGGACAATAGTTTCATAGCAATGAAATAGGCCGTATTTGTGTAATATAATAATACCAACTAAATTTATAACCTACCTGTACCGAGCGGTAAATTTCAGGTATCTGCCATCACTGCAGTGATCTGCCATCACTGGCGCCGGTAATACGGTGTGGTGTGGGGAGACCATACTTCAGAACCATATTCAAGCTGAGGTCTGACAAACGTCTGGACTTAATGGATTAGTAACCAACACTGAAAAGGTTTTGACTCGATTTGAATCCATTAAGAAGTTGGAGCAGTTTGAAATTAGGTTTAATGAAAAATCAATGCAAAAAAGTGTTGTTTTTTTTGTGTGGCAATTTAGAGATGTCCCTTTGTTGCCATGGTAACAAGAAATTAAAGATTTAGCATGCCTTTACAAAAACTATGATCTAGTTAACCTTTTTGTCAAATTTTATTAGTATTAAAGCATTTTTTATAGTTTCATAGCAATTGAACAATTGAGCAATTTGAACTTGTAACAGGAGGCTTTTCAACGAAAACAGCCATTTTTTACAAAATGCTCATAGAGTGATTGGTTAAGATGAATTTTTAAGTCATGAGTGGCGCTGTGTAAATGACTTAAGATTTGACCTACAATTATCATAAGTAGTTCTATTTCACTTATATTTCAAATAAGATAAACCATAAGCAGTTATTTGATCAGACAAAAAAAAAACAGAGTACTCAAGTACTGAAATCAGTACTCTTTGCCATCTCAAATATCCAGCTAGTATTTGTAGTTCTATTTCACTTATGCCTGAAATAATGTATGACTTGGCAGCTGAGTCGTTTTCCTCGTCAAACAAAATAGAAAGTTATATGATATAACAAATGTCAGTGTTAATTAAAACCCAGGATAACAGAAATCTCACAAATAAAGTTTTTCTGATTAAGATGTTTAATACTTCCTATTTATACTTAAGCAAAGCATTAGCTAAATCTGTGTTAAACAGTGTGATTGATATCTATCGAACAGAGAAAATGGACAAACCTGTGTTTAACTGCCACACAAAGACTACAGCACACTTCATCATGGCCTTTGCAATATCTGTCAATGAAATGTTCATCATGACTTCTACATTCCACTGATCTTTTTCCCTGGACTTGATCCGTGTCACCTAGAAGCTCATTAGCTTCAGTGATTTCCACAATCTGATGTTTGCGTAATGCTGCAAACTTGTTGTGGTCATTTAAACATTCCTGGCAAACATATGTTGTACAGTCCACACAATATTTGATGGCGACAGTTGTCCTCTCTGTTTCAGAGCATGGAGTACAGTTATTTAACTTCTCAAACCCAGTAATCCCAGGTGTTGTTTCCTCTTTCCCTGCCATATCTCTACTGACGGTTGCTACAAACACAACAATGTTTTATAAAATAAACTTTATGATTTTAACTTGCTTTTACAAATATAATCAATACTTAACCATATAATGAAAAGTACCACCGCTAGCTGAGTCTTTGAAATGTATCTGCTGTTAACGTCTTTGTATATTAATAATAAATGTTTAAAGTAAAATCCATTCAATAATTCAAAGGCAAAAACTCTTTATTTTTATGCCCTCAAAGAATGGCATATTAAAATCGAACCATCAGTCTGTCTGTCAGTCAGTTCCGCTTTATACATATAGACAGTGGTGGTCATGTCCGCTCTAAAACTTCAGTATGCATGTAAGGATTGTAATTTTTCTTTCACATATGAAATAACCATAGATATATGGGGTGTTGCAAACAAGACTCGGGTTTCTACCACTAAGGTCAAGGTTTATGTGGAGTTTAAAACTTTGTCATTTTTTACATTATACAAATATAGATGGTGGTGGTCGTGTCCGCTCTGAAACTTCGGTATGCATGAAAGGATTTTAATTTTCTTTTACATATGAAATAACCATAGATGTATGGTGTGTCTTGAACAAGACTGTGTTTCTACTAGTTAGGTCAAGGTCACTGGGGGTTCATACTTTCTTATAAAAAATAGAAAGTGGTGGTTGTGTCCGCTCTGAAACTTCGGTATTCATAAAAGGATTATAATTTTCCTTTCACATTGAATTACCCATTGATGTATGGTGTGTCGTGATTAAGACTCGGGTTTCTACGACTAAGGTCAAGGTCACTGTTGGGGTGCAAACTTTGTCATTTTTTATGTTAAATAAATATAGAAGGTGGTGGTCGTGACCGCTCTGAAAACTTCAGTATGCATAGAAGGATTGTAATTTTTCTTTCACATATGAAATAACCATAGATGTATGGTGTGTCGCAAACAAGACCTGGGTTTCTTTGACTAAGGTTAAGGTCATACTTGGGGTTCAAACTTTGTCATTATAAATTTTTTTTATATATAAATATAATAGGGGGTGGTAATGTTCGCTCTGAAACTTCAGTATGCTTGAAAGGATTTTAATTTTTCTTTCACATATGAATTAACCATAGATGTATAGTGTCGTGAACAACACTCGCGTTTCTACAAGTAGGGTCAAGGTCATTGTGGAGGTTCAAACTTTGTCATTTGTTATGTTATATATATATAGATGGTGTTGGTCGTATCCGCTCTGAAACTTCGGTATGCATGTAAGGGTTTTAATTTTTCTTTCATATATGAAATAACCATAGATGTATGGTGTGTCGCGAACAAGACTCTGGTCTCTATGACTTAGGTCAAGGTTACTGTGGGTGTTCAAACTTTGTCAATTTTGATGTTTATATACATATAGGCAGAGATGGTCGTGTCTGTCTGTCATTTGTGAAAATGTAAAGTTATTGGATTTACAAAGACAGCGCGACAGAAAATATTTTTCATATCACTTAAAATTGAAATTTATTGACATGCGCTTAATATGTATTATTACTAAGCAACATTAAATGCCCAGTACCTTCCTTTTTATGTTACTGTCACAAGTTTAACAAATATGCTGCCTTACCGAGACTTGCACCCCGGACCCTTGGAAACTATTCTGTAGCTCAACTAATAGAACTATCAGACTGCTTACACATCACCTCCCTAAATAGTGGACAGTTTTGAACCATGACATAATCCCTGCTTTATTGACATTCGTCCTTGAATAGGTACAATGTGAAGAGGACTTTTATACCATCGTTTTATACCATCACAGTCCCCTGTGGAATAGGTGATAGTATGAAACTCTAAGTAAATTTCACATTGTTGTTTTAAATGTTACAGAGGAAAACTCTATATAGTTTCTGTTACACCCAGTAGAGGAAAATACCCCTGTGGTTTTATAATAATCTTAATGATAAATCCTTACAGGCTATCCTAAAAAACTCACTGGTGAGGAGGCAATTCATGAAAGTTTCAATTTTATTTAAAACTATAAAGTCACCATAGATGGACAATGTGTTTGTGATCAAGACCCAGGTTTCTTTGTCACTGCTGGGGTTCGAACTTTGTCAATTTTTACCACCACACTTGACATGTAATAGGTGGTTTATAACTAGAATCCTTCGGGGGGCATTTGTCACGTTCTGTGACAGCTCTTGTTGATATTTTTGTCCCCTATGAATTTATATTCCCAATACTAAAGTTTACCACACCGCCTCCATGGTCGAGAGGTCAGAGTCGATGACTTCTAAGCCAGTTACCTCTCCGGGAGATGCTTTGGTAGTTTAGCACGGAGGAAGGTAGTCGAGTACTGGTGTAACTCTCAAGGAACGATGGTTAGGAAACTATTCGCCTATATGAATGAAACAAACAAACATAATAAATCAAAGGGCTGCAAGCTCTGTGATATTTTCTAATCTTCGTAATCTAAATCGTACTGTACATTTGTATGCAGTTTCCTGTATAAGTTTATTTTGATATACTATAATCTTGCAGGTCACCGAGTTGCAGCGATTGCGTTTAGATTTTTATGCTCCCTGAAGGATGAGCATATTGTCGCCGCTTTGTCAGTCCGTCCGTACAAACCGAAAGGTACTTGTGTGACATGGAGAACAATGGGTAACAGTAAATTCTCTGTGATCTGATCATTCCGTTTTTACTTGTGTGAATAAAAATGGCTAAAAATATCAAATAAAATAATCGAATCAAATAATAATTTGGCTATAGGGACAAAAGGTAACTGTTTTTTCTTTTTAATGTCATTCATTCCGTAATGCTTTTATGTGGCTATTTTCTTTTATGTGGCTAAAAAGAACTATAGAGAGAACAATAGAGTAGCCACATTATACTGTCTCTTGAGAACGTCCGTCCGTCTGTCCCTCCGTCCGTCCGCTATTCTTGCCCGGTATCAACATGAAACTTTGTAGGTAGATAAATCTCACCGAGTAGATGTGCAGTGCACAAAAACCGTAACTCTGCCTTGCCTAATACTTGAATTATTGCCCTTTGTTTATTTTTACACTTTGAACTTTGTCCGAGACATAACTCTAAAACTATAAGAGTTATCAACATGAAACTTTCCAGATAGATAGATCTCATTGAGTAGGTTTGCAGTGCACAAGAACCATAACTCTGCCAAGCCTAATTTTTGAATGATTGCCCTTTGTTTATTTTTACACTTTGAACTTTGTCCGGGAAATAACTCTAAAAGTATAAGAGATTTCAACATGATAAGTTTGAACAATACATCGTTTTCTGTGTTAATTTTTTGAACACACAGGGCATTAGAAATTTAGCACACATCTTTAATTAAATATGTATACAGTCGAGACTGCCTTAGCGACCCCCTGATTTAAACGACTCCCTGTCTTATCCGACCTTGTTTCAGTCCTCCCAACGTATTTTCCGATATAAATGGTCTGAATTAAACGACTCCCTGTCATATGTGACAAGCGACCCTAATTGTCAGGTCCCAATGCAATGTTTTGTCTGATTTAAACGACTTTCACACCTTTTAATTGTCCGTTAAATCAGATAAATAATACCTATTATAACACCCAGAGGGCCAAAATAATTAAGTCCAATTATAATCCAGTAGCAAACAAAGTCTACACACCTCTATCTCAATTACACAGTTGACATGTATAAATGCAGGTATCAAGTGACGTAGCGTCTGTTTATGGGAAGCATGACGCAATCGATGTGTGTGTAATGTACATTATGGCCTGAGTAAACTGGTTAAGACTTGTGTTAGATTTTTTTTTAATTATAGAGTGCCCAAGGAAGATTTTTTAGGCAGCATATTTTTTTATTTACCTTGACTGCATAATTAATACGGAAAAAATATTGATACTAAACCAGAAAAAGCTTTTCAATTGTGTGATGCAGTAAGGTCTGATTTTGCATATTTTGACCTCATGTAATTTATTGATTAAATATAATGTGCACAAATATTTTCAGTACACATTATACATATTCTTTGATGTTTGAAAGTTGTTTTATTTGCATAATTATGTCCATATATATTTTTTTTGCAAGTGTGGTCAATCACAAAACATAAAGGATCTTTAAGTCACAATGGTATATAGACAGCTAGATGATACTTAAATTTAATTTTCTTTGAGACTGTATTAAGAGACTCCCTGTCATATGTGACCTTTTTCTGAAGATCCCTTGGAAAGTCACATATGACAGTCTCGACTGTATATGAGTACAATATGTATTTCGTCACAGTTTTTTTGTTTTGTGTTGTAACATGAAAATATATTCAACGACTTACGCTGGTAAAATTAAAAGTAAGTTCACTGTCCTTTCTAGCATTATATTGCTTGCTTATTTGTCAGATTACTTAATCAACTGAAACAATCGTTTGTTACGCAGACAAGCGAGTAGCCAGATAATATATTTGGTCAATGATAAGAAACGTTCATCAGCATGACTTATTTTACATAATCATAATGCATGAATATTTGCTTTATTTTTTTATAGATAAGTAAATGTTATAGTATTTCCGATCCGTTTCTTGTATAATAGCGTCTTAATATATGCATGCGCTGTAAGCAAGGATGATTATTTATTTACCTGAATCTTTTTTAGCTACATCTCAGGTGAAATAAAATACATTCATTACATAAAGTAAGAGATATTATAGGGCAATAATGCTATTCAGTTTTTTTATGCAAACAATGAATCTTCTGTTCTTATAAATGTAAGGCAGATTTTATCAATATACCTGTTAAAATAACCAAACAGATCTTCTTAATAAATATAAAGAGTTAAAATATGACAAAGATCTTCATCACTTTCGCATGGTGGAGTAGGTTTTAAACAGTATAAATAAATCAGGGTTATTTACTCTGAAACGTTTAATGGCTAAAATATTGTCATCATATGAATTTTGATACATTTTGCTTATTTATGAATGAAACAAAAATTAAATTACGTTGTTTAAATAATATTTATCATATACTGTGACATGCATCTCTACAACTCATAACT